GCTGTATTACGTATTACAGCTTAAACTGTATATTAAACATACATACAAATGTGCATAAATAATTGTTTTAAAAATTTAATCGGAATGGACTCACTTTTTCTTCCGCCAAGGGTTTATGGGTAGCAATACTTATGTGTATGTATCTCTTTGTTATTTATCTTCTTGCTTCTCGTTTTGTCTTCTTGGTTTTTTTTTCTTGTTTGATGTCTTCCGTGTTGAGGTTTTGTTCTCTTCCCACGTTGCTTACAATCCTTATCTCCTGTGCCGTATGACTGGGGTTCTTTTTTTGTTTTTTTTTTTTTTTGTTTATTTAGTTTTTCACCGCGCCCGTATTTGATTTATTTTTTCTTTTGTATTTGTTTTACTCTAGTTGGTTTTGCGCCCGTTTCATACATTTTGTAGAGTTGAGGTTATTGACCTTTGTTTTGTGTTATAACGCGCCCGTTTAATGCTATTTGTTAATATACATATGCCCGCAATTTTCTTAATTTTTTTTTTTTTTGCACTTCTTAACTTTTTTGTTTGTGGTGTTTTTCTTAGGTGCCTTTCTGAGAGGCTCGAAGGACCATTTGTTCGCTACACCTAGTTCCACTGGGTATACTTACTTTTAGCCTTTGATTATGTATCCCTTTTTGTTTGTGTTTGAGTTAAAGATTTATAATTCAACGGTGAAGAGTAACAATTCAATAACTTTTATTTTTCTTTTCGGGGAACACTTCAACAGATTGCCATTTACTATATTCACAATATTTTATATATTTTATTAAATATGTGTATATATTTTTTAATATTTATTATGTTCACTGCTGCTGCTGTCAATGCACAACCACACTCAACCGGAACGATTTTCCAAAATTGGACCACAACTTTGACGGAAATTCAAGAGCTGGCGAGACGTATGTAACGTTTACGGGCGTAGAAATCGAATGAAATACATCCCGATCTAACCAATCCTTTTTGATCGGTTAGGTGGTGAAAACGATGACGTGTGGTGTGTGTGTAGTGTGGTTGGTTTGTTGCGTGGGGTTGCGTGTATGATAATGTAGGTTGTGTGCTGACTGTTGTGATGTGTGATGAGTGTGAGCTGTGTAATGGATATTGTGTTGAGGGGCGAGATGCCATGAAGTCGCATAAACAATATGTTATGTAATAAAATATGTGTAAAAGAATGGACTATTTCTCAGCGTATACTTTTATATGTAGTGATAACTCTTTTTATTAAGTAAGTGTTTTGTTATTACGGATAAAATTGAACTCGTACTATATGGACATATGCGTTAAAGCAGGATTTTTGTTTGACAAAGAACAAGGGCTATTGCTGAATATGTGCCAAAATGGTCTTTCTGATAGATGTATGTATAGTTATTTATAATTTTATACGTACAAATATATAATTATGGGTTTTATGGTCGTCAGCTTATGGTTGCTTCCGATTCTGTTGGCTTTTCCTTGCCTTGATTAAAACACGTGCTTCAACTTTTGTCTATACTAATACTTTCATTCGGAATGTGGCGTGCTCTAGATGAATATGCGTAAAAAAATAAAAGTGGTGTGATCTCTGTAAGAATGCGCAGAAGAATGAGAATGAAAGAATAATGATAGTTATGTTAACTGCGGTGCAGATAAATTCATGAGTGCTGCCAAACCATCGAATTGATGGTGCTGCCCTTGGGTGTTAGGTGTGTTCGCGTACTAAACTGTGTGTGCTACATACGCAGACGTTTAGGGAATCGAACTTTTCTTCCCAGGAAGGGAATTTTTCTAATTTTGTTTCGGATGTCCAGCGTGAAATATTTCGAATGACGTTTTATTACTGCGAATGGTCCATCATACAGTTGCTGCAGTGGTGGTCCAATTGCGTCGTTGTGCACGAAGGCTTGCGTACATTGATGGAGTTCCTTTTGCATGAATGGTTTTATTTTTCTGTGGTGCGCCGTTTGCGTTTGTTATATCGATTCCATTGCATGTCTGAATTCTTGCACAAACTCTGCTTCGTTTTGGTATGGCTTCGGTTCGGTAAAAACATCTGCTGGTAGTCGCAAGCTTTTTCCGTAAACTAGTTCCGCCGGTGTTGCCTGTATGTCCTCTTTAAATATCGTTCGAAATCCAAGCATGATGAGCGGTAACTCGATTGCCCAGTTTCGCCGATCGCTGAGCTGCTTAAAAACTTGACATTCAAATTGTCGCCCCTGGTCCGTTGTAATTTTAGAAGGTACACCAAATCGCGTGATCCTTGTTTCTATGAGTGTGGTGGCGACAGTTTCAGCCGTTATGTTCTTGATAGGTGCTGCTTCTGGCCATCGCGTAAATCTGTCGACGATCGTTAGTAGGTTTCGGTAATCGTTTAAAGGCGGTAGTGGGCCGACTATGTCGATGTTAATGTGGTCGAAACGTGACTCTGTGGTATCGTACCGTCCGGGTGTAGTCTGTATGCCGCTGAATTTTCGATTTTTGGCACGGTATGCACTGCCTTGCCCAGGTTGCAACGTCCTGGTGAATGTTGGGCCAGACGAATCTTTGTTTGATGAGTCGGATAGTCGCTCGAATACCAGGATGTGCAATGTCGTGTGTAGCGTTAAAAATAGTTTTTCGACATGACTTCGGAATGTAATGTTTGCATTTGTTGTTTGAGATATGGCAATATATCTGTTGTGCTGAATTGAGCACGGGCATCTTAGTCAAAGTTATGCTGCAGCGGTCGTTCCCTTGAAGAATGGATTTCAGTTCACTGTCCGTATTCTGTTCTGCCGCAATGACCTCGTAGTCGATAGGTTGCATTACATTGATGCGTGAAAGAAAATCGGGTACTGTGTTTTCTTTACCCTTTACGTAACGTATATCAGTCGTAAATTGGCTGACGTAATGCAAGTATGGGAGGTGTCGTGGCTCTGCCTTTTCGGGTTTCTGTTTAAAAGCGAAAGTGATTGGTTTGTGGTCGGTGTAGATCGAGAAACATCTACCTTCTAGTTGGTCGGCGAAGTATTTAACGCTTTTATATACGGCGAAAAGCTCTCTTGAGTATGTACTCCAATTACGTTGAGATGTTGTTAACTTGCGGGAAAAAAATCCTAGTGGCTGCGCCTCGCCGTTTTTTATTTGGTGCAGCACGCCTCCGATACAGTTGTCTGATGCATCGACTGATAGTGTGAGTTGTGCGTTTTCTTGTGGATGCGTGAGCAGGGTTGCATTGGCTAATTTTAGTTTAACATCGTTGAATGCTTTTCGCGACTCTTCGGTCCACTGAATTTTGCGTTTTTCGTTTTTGATGTTGCCCGGAATAAGCGCTTGCAGGATATTTTGAGTATGTGCAGCGCCGGGTATAAATCTTCGGTAGAAGTTGATAATTGCTATGAAACGTCATAGGTCCTTTGCGATGGTTGGTTCCGTGTAAGCGTTTATTGCCTCTACTTTTTCTGGCAGTGGCAGAATACCGTTGGGTGTGACTAAATGACCGAGATACCTCACGTTTGACTGACCAAAAACACATTTAATGCCGTTAACGGTTAAGCCGTTTTGCTTTAAACGCTTGAACACAATTCGAAGGTGTTGCTTATGTTGAGATTCGTTGCGGGACGCGATGCAGATATCGTCTAGGTATGGTACGACAAAGTGTAATCCTCGAAACACACTGCCGATGTGTCGYTGAAATGTTTGGCCCGCGTTGCATAACCCAAATGTCATTAAATTCGAATAAGCCGAACGGAGTTYTTATGGCCGTTTTTTCGATATCATCGGGATGCATGGGTATCTGGTGGTACGCCCTTTCTAGGTCGATAGTTGAAAATATGCTTTTGCCCACAAATACCTGATGCAATGTCTGGATATTTGGAATCGGGTACCTGTCCTTTTCGGTGACGGCGTTTAGTGCCCTATAATCCCCGCACGGTCTCCAGGTATTGTCCTTTTTAGGGGCCATATGAAGTGGCGAAGCCCATTGACTTTTGGACGGCTGGYAWATACCCTTCGCCATCAGGTATTCGAATTCCGCTTTGGCGGCTTTTAGTTTTTCGGGTGTGAGGCGACGTGGTTTTGCGTTCACTGGTGGACCGCTCGTGACGATGTGGTGGAACGTTGCAGTTTTGGCAATGCGTTTATTATGTGACGGTGCGCATAGTTCCTTAAATTCTGAGAGTAATTCTGTGTATTTGTTTGTACCAGTAACAAGTTTAATGTGGTAGCTATAGCTCGCGTTATACCGTACGTATGTAATCTCGTTATTTTATGGATTAGTAATTTGTTTTTTAAGTCTACTAGCAGGTCGTTAGGAAATCCGCGCCGATAATTGGCGATTTTACGTCGGCTATGCAAAATGTCCATTCAAAAAGGCGACGGAGGCCGAAACTTAGTTTCAGAATTTTCTGTCCGAATGTTTGTGTTGGCGTTCCATTCGCCCCGTAAATTGACTGGGTAATCGTCGGTTTATGAGTGTTGTTTGTTGCGGTTGCTGGGATAACCGATATATCTGCTCCGGTGTCGATGAGGAAATGTTGATTGTCGTAAACGTTTTTTATGAAAAGGCGGAGGTTGTTATTGCCGTTTCCGAGCTGGCAAGTGCCTCCCATGGCTTGAGCTCGGGGTACTAGTTTTTTTGTTCCTCCTGTGTGCTGCCGGCCGTACGGTCAAATTTGCATGGTGGCCTGCACTTACGAGCGCTCGTCCCGTATTTGTAGTAATACCAGCATGTGTCGTGTTGTTCGCGACTTCGTGAATCTGATCGTGTAGGTGTTGCTGTTGGTCTTCGTTGGTTGTCGCGGCGTAGCCATTTGATGTCTCGGAGATCCAGCGAGAGCGCATTGATCTGCCCTTGCATTTCTAGAACTGCTTGACTTGCAGGTTCATTGCCGGTGCTTTGGTGTGGGTGTGTGTTTACTGTCTGCTGAGGACTTTGTTGAACAGCGTGTATGAAAGAGTTGCTGTCTCCATGCCTCCATGATACGATCGGCCATCGTTGCTGCGTTGACCAATGTAATGTGCTCGACTGCGGATAGAATTGCGCGTATTTATTCAGGCAGATTCCGGAGCCATAACTGCTTTAGGAGCTCGTCTGTAACCGGTGTAGCTGAGTCCCTTGTCCGCATTTCGGCTAACAACTGTGACTGTTTGCGATCACCGAGTGATAAGTCCCTGAGGAATTTCGTTAGTTTGGTTTGTGTGCTATCGGCAAATTGGTCAATGATTCGAGCCTTGAGGTTTTCGTACATTTTGTTGCGTGCTCGTGGATTCGTACGGAAATCAGCTAGTTTGTACATAACGCGCGTAGGCAGTTGTTCAATTATGGTATAGTATCGGCTTTTGTCGGACACGATACCTGCCGCTTCAAATGCCGCCCCGACTTGCCAGAACCATAGGTCGGTATGTTCCTCAACGAAATCTGGGAGCTTAACTTTCCCTTGATCCAGCGTGTCCACCCGCATTGGTGCCTGTTGCTCTGGAGCCGGTGTCTCTTGCTTGTCGTTGGACATATTTTTATTTTCGAAAGATTTCTCACTTGTGGGGGTCACCAGTATGGGTTTTATGGTCGTCAGCTTATGGTTGCTTCCGATTCTGTTGGTTTTTCTGTGCCTTGATTAAAACACGTGCTTCAACTTTTGTCTATCCTGATACTTTTATTCGGCGTGTTCTAGATGAATATGCGTAAAAGAATAAAAGTGGTGTGACCTCTGTAAGAATGCGCAGAAGAATAAGAATGAAAGAATAATTACAGTTCTGTTAAGTGCGGTGCAGATAAATTAATGAGTGATGATATTAATAATAATAATAATAATAATAATAATAATAATAATAATAATAATAATAGTTTTCTCTTACTAAATAATAAATAAAATTTACCGTACTGTTTAATTATTTAAGGGATTTTATGAAAATTATTTAAAATTTAATAATTTAATATGTACAACTTTAGTGTAGGGTATAAAGTCGGAGGCACGTTATATGCCAAATTTTTATACATGTTAATGTATATTTACGCGACGAAAACGAATTCGGTAAAACAGATATTCTATGTATGCATTATTACAAATATGTAAATAAACAATTTAATATTGAGTTCCAATTCATATATGTATATAAAATAAAGTCGTGTTAGTTACACTATTTATAATTCAAGATCGACTGAAACGATTTGGCTGAAAATTGGTGACGATTAGAACCAGTGAAAGGAAACCATAAGCATTTGTTCAAAATTCATGAAAGAAGACAAATGAACGGAACGATGAAGTATATGCGTAAAATTTCAACCTGATCCTTGCATTTGCGCTCCTTAATATAGCCAATGCAGCAAGTATAGTAAAGGGCACTTTTTGGTGGGCGGTGATGTCAGCCTTTACCTTTACGAGGAGAACAATAATAAGCCGAGTAGTCCAGGTTCATGCCCTTAAATATTTGTCTTTAACACCTTTGCAGTATAGTCATCAAAAGGGGGTCACTTATCCGAGGCTGTTTCTTCTTTTCATTGGCATAGTTTTTTATGTGGCGGGTACCAAACCCAGCGCACAAACCTGGAAAGTGATAGTTCACTTTTTCACTTTAGTTCGTTTTCAAATGGATGATTTTTGGCTACAAAAAGTGTAAAGTTTTATCCCGTTATATTAATTACGTCTTGATTTGAGTACTGGAAAGTGAATTAATCAAATGCAATTTAAAATTGTGTCATATTTTAAGTAGGCGTGGAGGTAGTCCAATGGGCAAACCATTTTCACACTGTGACATAGGAATATGAAAAAATGCCACATACTGCGTTTAGTCTAAATCAGTTTTTCGGGTCCCGAGATAGTGATTTCACCAAAAAGTGGACGGTGCCACGCCCACCATCCAACTATCACACCGGCTCGCATAAAGCCCTCTCTTACCAACTCCGATCATCTCATGTCTACGGCGTAATTGGTTATTGATTTACTGCGTTTTTAGTAGTTTTGAGAAGGACCGTTATATGAAGATTAAATTTGGTCATCAAAAAGATTTCATCCATTTTCACACCACCAGTAAGAGTTTTTATTGCGGTCAGAAAATTTTGTTGTTTTAACGTTCGTTGTTCAGGGGATATGTACACAAACACTTATTAGAGAGCGGGGCCACAACCGCTATTCCGAAAATGTTCGTCCACAAGTGCCCCTTGCTACTGCGATCCCCTGTACCAAATTACAGTTTTATATCTTAGTTGAGTGCTTAGTTAGAGGAGTGGTACGATTACAACAATCTACGAAATCGTAATGTTTTTTGTATTAAAAGAGCGGCATACCAAGTTTCATCATGATATCTTAATTTTTTTTTTTTAGTCATCTAATTTTTTATATATACTGTATATAACTGTATATCTATCTCGTTAGTTCTATGTGATACATAAAACATTGTACACCGTAGCAACATGTTGAACGAGTGTAAATATATTTATTTTGTTCATTTGAGGTATAGAATATTAAAATTTTTTCCTATTTCATCGTAATTTTAACACAATGTAGATGTACAAAAATCCGTAATTTTGGTTTATTAGCATTTTAATCTGTCAAAATATATGTATGTAGTTAATTGTTATTACGAACTTTTTTTAATAGAAAAAAGCATGAACAGGTAATGCATTTAGTTTTTGTGTAAGGATTTTTTGACAAGCCAATATACATACATATCTTGGCTAATCATCCAAGCAAAATATGCAGCTAATAGTTATCTATTGAAATAAAATACACTTTATGTATCTTTGTGTCTGAAAACATCTAGTGAAGACTGCTCTAGCTTCACTGACTTTATTGCTTTAAGATTAGTGATGATAAAAGGTGATCCACTTCGAAGATTCCTACTTTTTAAAGAAAAATCATAAAAACTCCAGATTTAATGTGGAGTGTTTATTAGCAGGCGAAATAAAATTCTTCAGCATTTAATTTTTGAAGAATACTTCTTTGACTACGTCTCAGATGGTCAATCCGTTGAGTCCAGTTTTCGATTACTCGTTCGAGCATTTCGACTGGTAACTGGCGAATGATTCGCGTTGATCGCGTTTCGGCCTGATTAGAAGCGAATTTGGCACAGACTTTAGGCTTTACTTATCTCCATAGAAAAAATATTAAATGTGTAATATCACACGATCTTGCAGGTCAAAGGACCGTCCCCAAACGTGAAATTTTCTGCTCACCGAACTGTTCTCTCAATAAATCTAGTTATTGATGCGCCGTCTTGTTGAAACCAAATGTCGCGGAGATTGCGAGCTTCAATTTCTGGCATAAATAAATCGGTTGGTTATCATGGCGTGATAAGGGCCGCCATTGACCGGCATCATTTTTAAAGTACTATTGTCCGATGATTCACCGTACCACAAACTGCACCAAACCATTGTATTTTCTGAATGAAATAACAGCTCTAGAATCTCTTCAGGTTGCTCTTCGTCCCAAAAGCGGCAATTTAGCTTGTTTTCATATTCGCGGTATTCGTATATACTCTCAGTAACGGCGTCTATATTTTCTTCAATGTGTGCTGAACGTGGTCTATTCGTACGAATATTATCCAATAATGAATGCTGGATCTCAAGATAGATGATGGTGTTGTGAATAGTACGCTCTATAGGTATATATCAAGGGTGGCTGATGAATTTTGCTACATTAAGAAACTCAAATAATTTTTTTTTTTCAGTGTATGGAATTCATTTTTCTTTTACTCATGTTAAAGCTCATTCAATTTTATTAAATATAGCTTCATTAGTTTTAAAAATAATGGAATTTAAATGCCCCCTCTGCTCGTTGATGCATTTCCGGCATCTTACCAAAAAGTTGTTCATTACTGCTTGGAGAGTTGAGACAGGAATAGCGCAATTGTTTCTCGAATGGATTGCTTTAGTTCATTCAAATTTGTTGGTTTTGCTTTGTAGACTTTCTGTTTGCAATAACCCCACAAGAAAAAGTCAGATGCAGTAAGGTCAGGCGACCTGGGTGGCCAACGGAATGTGGAGCTTCTGGATATCAGCTTATTGGGAAAATTTCGTCGCAATTCTGTCATAACAGGTTGATCTATGTGAGGAGCTAAACCATCTTGCTGAAACCACACAGAGTTGAAAGAAATTCCCATTCGGCTCTCCACATGCTCAAGTAACGGTCTCCGGTAACCGTAACGGTGTGACCGTTTTCTTCGAAGAAGTAGGGCCCGACAATGCAGCGTGATGAAACTGCTCACCACACTGTGACACGAAGTGGATGCAATTCCGTCTCATGGAGTATCTGTGGGTTGGAAGCACTCCATATTCGTCAATTTTGTTTATTTATGTTGCCGTTTAAATCGAAATGGGCCTCGTCAGATATGAAAAGACAGTTCAACATGTTTCCATCCTCTTATACCATTTGAAGCATCTTCTGGCAAAATTCCAAGCGAATCGGCAAGTCTGCAGCGTTCAGTTTGTTGACCATTTCAATYTTATATGGGAATAAGTCAAAATCTTTGTGTATAATTGACTGTAATGACTGTCTGCTTACACCCATTTGAGCAGATAAGCTTCTTGTCGAAACACGTGGATTGTTTTGTATGGCAGCAGCTACAGCAGCGATTGTTTCCTCCGTTCGAACTGAAGGGCTTCGATGGTAAGGTCTTCTGTTGGTCGAGGTCCCATGCTCGGCAAAGTCTCATTATGGTCCATCTGCTCGGAGGATTGCCGCCAAACGTGCGCCTATACTCTCTTTGAATCGAAAYTACGGACTCCAGTGCGTGATAGCGGCGGACAATCCAAATTCTTGTTTCAGTGTCCCAGTTATCCATTTTTGTTACATGTAAAAGTCAATCTGCAAAATAAAAAAAATTAACCAGATTCATTAAATAGAAAAAAAGTTACCCTGTATATCGTGGAGCCAGCCACCCTGTATATCGTGGAGTGTATAAACAAATTTTTTCGAAATTTTTTGATGACATCTGTCAGAAAATTGGCTGGGTGAATGAGATACGTATTTTCACTGGCGAACACGATTTCTCATGTTTGGATCTTCTGAAACAAAAAAACCCAACCCATCTCTACTAGAATCATAAAAAAATGTTGATGAATAAAACAGTAATTAACATTTTTCCTCATGTTTTTTTGCATAAATTTTGTCATAACATTGTCAATAAATTATAAAAATATATAGAGACAATAGCCAGTGGTTTTGTGAACATTTAAAAAAAATTAAGAAAATCGGTTGAGTTGTTCGACCGGAATCATGTCCGCCAGTTTTGAGAAAAACGCGTTTAATGCGAGAGGTGTGCACTCCGAGCGCTCCGAATGTCGAGCGGTATTATTATTTTTGGGCCTTTTTCGAAACTTTCCAATGGTAAAGTAGGTTTCTACAATAAATCTAAAGGTTAAAGGAACAGAAAATTAAAAAAAAAATGTTAAAAAAAAGATTACCCTACCCTTATGTTTGGAAATACACTTGTTGTGAAGATTCTTTCATTAATCTAGTAGAAATTTAAAGGTTTTGCCATACTAAACTGGGATTTCTTAATATTGTCAGCG